TTTATATATATATATATATATGTTATACTTCCAGTATTTTATTGTACAAAATGCAGTGAAGAAAGATGAAATGGTATGGGGAAGAGCTAGACTGAAAAAACAGGCCACGAAGGGTACAATTACTGGCTTTTTGGTGGAATTGGGACATAGTCTGGTGTAGCTGCATGAAAGAAGCGGATTATCTAGATGACTCTGCATTTGATCTGACTCTGGCATCTAGTAGAGTGGGACTGAAAGAATTATTTTTATGTCAATCTTTGCCAAGTTAATAAATCACTTAAGTAATAAGGGAACATCTAGCTATTTATTTTTCACTTATTTTTCCATGGAATGATTAATTCTGAAAAATGACTGCTGTCTTTAATACCTCCTGACAGGTGATGCTGGTTAAATTGACATTAAAAATGATACTAGAAAATGCTTTTAATTTTGTAATAGATGCATGACAGAGTTGTGGAGTGTCTCCTGGCAAAGAACAAAACTCAAGCTGTCTAAGAATTCTGACAGGAGCAGGACAGACTGTTCTCTTGCTGCAAGCTTAGATCAAAAGGATCTTAATTTTCACAGAAGCAAAAAACATTCTGTGCCATGTCCACTAGCATGGTATGAGAGCAAGCATTTTACTAAATTCAGTATAATTAAGAGGCAGGCACTGGAGGTTTAGCACATGACATAAATTCATGTTTACTGCTGAAGTTGCTGTTGCCTGTTTAGTGAGTGAAAGAGTTCCTGGAGTGGCCAGAGTAGAATGTTGGTCGAAAACCGCATGCAGTCGCTGTGGGGTTTGAGGAATGTTGTTTTCCTGGAATACTGACACAGTATAGACTGAAATTAGGTTGGAGTATAGACTTAAAAACCTCAGACTCCAAACAATCTCAGCTTTGGTTGGTATGTATAAAAGTTAGGGTAAAGGGCCTACATCCATCAGAGTCCAATTGCTGAACTCTCCCTCATTTTAACTACGTCATCTTTTGTTCCCTACTTTTGAAATAGAAAACCACTTTTGTCTTGCTTCCTGAGAGAGTGATGTTTATGTGATTAGCCTACCAGGCTGTCTTTTCATTCCACAGTGATTTTTTGCACAGGCCAGGTTCAGCCCAGCTTGAAAGGAGTGTTCATCACCAACTGACAGATGAATGTGGCACTCTCTTTTCAAGGAATAAGAGATTTTTCACTGTATGGAAGCAAGTTGTGCTGTGCCACTTGAGGATGATGTCTAGCTTTGTACATTCACGAGTATAAAAATAATCTCTGTGTCCAAAGACAGGGTAGGAATGCAGCTAAGAGTTATTATGAACATGCATAGTTGCAAAATTATCTTTTTAGGAGACCTGCTGTTGTAGCTTTTAAAGAGGATTTGTGAGTCCACATATTTGGGTTGTTTTCCCAAAATTCTCCTGAACAGTGGTGTGTATGTACTGTCCCAGCAGCTCCTTCACCACAGAAGTTGTGGCAGTTCTACACCTAGAAATTTTGTTGCGTCAGCAGACCAAGCATTAACTTGTGTGAACTACTCTGTGTAATTTTGAGTCTAATCGTAGCTGTCTTTAAATTTAATCTTAGCTCAATAAGAAATGTGTTTCTTGTTTTGCTTTAGGTTAGAAAAATCCCCAGTAGAAACTGAAGTATTGTTCCAAACCAAAGGGATAATTTTTAAAGTTTGCTTACATCTGTCACCCTGGAGACTCACATCTGAACTTACGTCTGTGCCTGTGTGTTGCCAGCTTTTTAAAGAGTTCAGAGGATGGCCACGAAGATAATTAGGGGGCTAAGAGCTTGAGGCTTATAAGGAGACCATGGGAGAGCTAGTTTTGTTTAGTCCTCAGGGTTCTCAGTGAAGTGTTGGGGGCCATAGAGGAATTGGAGCCAGAGTCTTAGAGGTGCACAGGTATAGTACAAGAGGCAATGGGCACAAGTTGCAACAAGGGAAATTCAGACGAGATACTGGGATAAAAATTTTCTTTGTGAAGACAGGCAAATGTAGAAAAGTGCAGGAAGGCTGACAAATCTCCATCCTTGAAGACACTGAGAACAGGACCGAGGTCATGGGCAAACTGGTCCAAGTTGGCCTCCTTTGGGCAGACATTTGGACCAAATGACGTCTAGAGGTCTGTACCAACCTGTTGTTCTGTGACACAGCGTAGGGCGTGGCATGAGTTTCAAGTGCAGTTCCCTATGAAACAGCTTACTACTAGATTTGCATTCAGGAGGGTGTGTTTCTAAGGTATTCTAGGAGCCCAGAAGCACTAATACCAGCTGAATGCTGGAGAACTGAATATAATTGCTCTTTCTGCCATGAAGTTTTTGTGTTATGACTTTTGAGTAGGTGGCATTCTCTAGATGTCTGAACTGAGGGCTGTGCTGGAATGCTTCTCCAAACAGTATTTAGGGATTGTTCTTTCATTAGTTAACATCTTAGTATACAAAATACATCAAAAAAGGTTTGTTTGGGTTCCAGAGTTAGTGCCTAGTTCCAATCTTAATCCTTTTTGTGATTCATCTCTCCAGTTGTTAGACCATCCATCGCTTTTCAGGGGCAGTGTAGAGATGACTGTCATAAAGCCAAAAGGACATAAATAATTCTTCCTTCTTATGTCCTGATACCCATGTATTGCAACAGAAACACAGAAGAAAGGAAAGCTTCAGTCCTTCCAGTGTGGAGGGACTTTTGGAAAAAAACCCACTGGTGATTGCTAACTAATTGGGACAGTTATGCATGATGAGACCAGCCTTAAATGATAACATTTCCTAACTTTCCAGTTTTTTTTACTGTAACGCTTTCACTGTATTCTTTTAATATTCTTTTGTTTCCAAGTATAAACCACAGTTAAAAATTGGAGCTCTTTTTACAGCATTTCTCTTACATCTTTTTGTTGCTTCTGAAAGAGCACAGCTGAAAGAGCCTCTGTTGTAGCAGATGATGCTGGTTAACACATGCTGCTCAGCTCAGTGCAGTAACTGTCTCTCAGACTCTGAGCTCAGTTCTGTTCTCATCTCGTCACCATCAAGAGGAGTTTCAGCATTGCCCACTCTGCAAATGTCTTTTTCTACTGATAGCCAGGTGATGTAGTGCAGCCTAGCAGAGAAATTGTATGTGAGATATGTTCTTTATACGGAGTGCACAAAGACTGTGCAAAGATCAGTTTCTTGGAATCTGCAAGAGGTGTTGGAAAAATAATGAAAACGGTAGACACTGTAAGTCCTTAAAATCTGTGCTCTTCAATAAGGTGTCTGCTTAAATTCATCCATATTTTGAGAGCCCTTAAAAGGCTTTTTGAACTTCTAAGTGTGTCTAAATATGCGTGCTGTCCTGTCTGGGAGACTAAGTGTATTAAGGGATCACAAATAGGATGTGCATTAACAGAGTAGCAGCAGGAAACTAAGTGCTAAGTACTAAATAAATCCAGGAGCAGGAGAAGGAAAACAAATCACTTCAACCATCAACATATGCCTAATTTTTAATAAACCTACAGATGCTAAAAGGCTGTTTTAAAACAAGAATAGTAAAGTTGCATTAGGAAGCACTGTAAAGCTCAGATCCTATGGACTGAAGGTTGCTTGTCAACCCTTAATGTGTATCTATTATGCATATGCATTATAATAATCTTTTAACAGGAGAAATCTCTGTAAAGTGGGAAAATAGTCTTTGACTTCATTGTAGTGGAAAATAAGATGTGCTTAAAGCCATTCACTTGCTCTGCCCTTAAAAGCCTGTAGGAGTACATGAGAAGAGTATATTTGGTGTCAAGGGCACAATAAATGATAGGAAATGTTACTTTGGAAGCAGTGGTTTTTTCTTCAGCGATAATTGGAGACATTTATGAGCTTCAGAGTCTAAAAGTCTGACTGGTTTTGAATGCAACTGCTTTTATGAAGTTTTGAATGTTGTTACAATTCTCTGATTTACAAGGTCTCTTTTGCTTTTGTCTTTTAATAGCTCTCTACAAATATGCGTCAGCTGCAAATAAATTAGGTGGGAAGTGCTGATTTCATGAGAAGTTGTGAATTTGTGCAACAGGACAATACCCCACTGCTGGAATCTCTGTCTCTCAAAAGTCTCTGAAATATAAAGAAGGGGCCAAATCTTATTTGTTCTTTTGCCTTTCAGGTCCAAACCATGAATTACGTTGGACAGTTGGCAGGGCAAGTGTTTGTCACTGTGAAGGAGCTCTATAAGGGACTAAACCCAGCCACGCTCTCGGGCTGTATAGACATAATCGTCGTGCGTCAGCCGGATGGAAACCTTCAGTGTTCCCCTTTCCACGTGCGCTTTGGGAAGATGGGAGTTCTGCGTTCCAGGGAGAAAGTGGTAAGAAAAGTGGCAGCTTTGCTACGCTGCATCTGGGAGTTAACCCTAAAGGCATGAAAGGTACTGAATGCTCTGTGGTATGCTAGTCAGAGTTCCCAAATTGAAGGTAAGGTTCGGTTAACATCATGGTAACTGATTGTTGCATTTCAAAGCATAATTTGTGAAACATTGTCTATAATAAAACCAAATCAAACTATGACATTTGTAACATTTTTTTTCTAATAAAGCAAAATTTTGAATGTGGTAGCGGGCCTATACTGGAGTCCATTAGTGACTCTGTATTAATACTCCTTTGTTTAATGTGTTCAACGATAGTTACAAAAAGGGAGGTAATCAAGTAATATTTTCAGATAACAAAAAATTAAGGTTAATTGAAGCTAGAAAAAGCAGTGAAGACCTTTAAAATAAGATAAATTTAACCAGGCCGAATGACCTGGTGATATGATATCAGATGCAAACTTGCCAGTGAGTAATGCACAACAGATTATTTTAGGAAATTTATGACTACAGACAGTCTAGGTTCTAACGTAGCTATAAGTGTTGAGGAGAACGATCCTAATGTCCTCATGGATATTGTTCAATTCTTACATAAATAAGAGAGGAATGCTAATATTTAGGATGGGAAAAAGTTGAATGTTAACGTGCTAACAGTATACTGTTTCCTGAAATATGACATATGTATAGACTTGTCCATGTCTCAGTAATAAATCCAGAAAAAAAGGAATTGGTGGCAAGAATGATTATATGTAAAGAGAGATCCTCCTAAGAAAACATGGGAAAAGACAGTGGTGAGCTGAGTGAGTTAGAAAAATATTTTGTCATCAATGGCCTTGTTAAAGGGGTGAGGAGAGAGACAGAGAAGCCTTTTTATGTTTATTGTAAGGTTTCCTACACTTCCCTGAGGAACAGTTTCCCAGTGACAGTGGTAGGATAGCTGAGCAGGGACTGTGTACCTTAAGTAACTTTATTTTCATATAAGAATATCTTTATTTTTTTCCAGGTTGACATAGAAATCAATGGAGAGTCTGTAGATTTGCACATGAAGCTAGGAGACAATGGAGAGGCCTTTTTTGTACAGGAGATGGATAATGATCAAGTAAGCGTCAAAACTAATTTTAATTTGTTAAAAAATCAATTCCTGCTCTTCAGACTCAGTCTGGAGTTTAGGACTTTTGTTGAAAAATATATCTGTACTCATTTTATAGTTTTGAAAGTTTCTGACAATTTTCTGCTATGAAAATTCAATACTATGCATTTACTTCATCTTTTGAGTTGATGGAATTTGGGAAAACCTAAAGGAGGTAATCACATAACTGAAAAATAAATTGTAATTTATGTGCATGTGAACAGAACACGTGCAAAGTTCACATGCTCCAAAGATGTGTACAACAGAGGTCAATATGTCCATGGACCTGTTCTTTTTCAGAAAGTTTTATTTTGAACATATGCACTCAGCAGACTGCCAGTAAAAATGCACATGCTCTGTAAACATCTGTGCACGTAGTGGTTCTGGTACTGACCAAAGATGTGATCTTCCAACTATTGATTCATGTGGGATTATAGTTAAATGAGAATGTCTGCTCTTGAGCTGTGTGACTAAAAACCAACCTATACAAGTTATGGCCATACTAATTTTTAATAGTCCACATGTAACCTAACATAAGAAAAGCTTTTTACAGGTATTTCTCTTCAGATAGCTCAAATGATTTTTGTAACTGCCATGATGCAGAGTGGGGTGAGTTTTCAAATTCTTGTATAGAGTGCAATTTAACTAGTTTCAGGTGAGAGCTGAGTGCATGTGCAGCATTCATCTCTGCATCTTTGTGTTTTAATCTACTGATCTTTATATTTAATTTTTCTGAGTGATAACAGTTACTTGGTGACTGAAAATGGCCAGAAAGGCTTCCCTGAGTGTCTAGAGATGTATAGATGTGATTGAATAAGAGGACATTTGTGTGACTTAGGTATAAACCACTGATCTGACTACTATCTGTCATATGAGTTGTGAAGGAGAATTGGGTTTTACAAAATGTTTTGTTTATAAACAGGGATTTGGTTTATGTTCTGTATGCAGCATCAGGTGGGTAGAGACTCATGCCACAAATTGGCCAATATTAGATGCTCAGAGGATCCTCTTTATTACAAGTTCCTGGCTTGTCTAAGGAGATGAAGCTATGGAACAATTTCCATATGCTCTAGGATCATATTGAGCATCCAGATCTCTATTCCTTGTTACTTTTTTGAGGAATGAACAACTTAGATTTTGACAATTGTGCATAGATTTTAGAACCAGATATATGACTAACTCATAGAGGAATTAATACGTTTTATGGTTGATTTTTTTTTCTCAGGAGGTAATTCCTTATCATCTCTGCACATCTCCTATTCTGTCTGAGGGAACTGCTTTAATGGAGGCTCAGCTGAAGAGGAACTCCATAGACAGGATAAGAAACCTGGACACCAGTGTATCCTCACAAGTACCACCCCAAGGCCATGGATCCCAGCCTTCTACTGAAACATCTCCAGTCTGTAGCTCTGTGAAAAAAAGGAGGAAAAAGAGGAGGAAGTCTGCCCATAAAATAGACAGTTTGAAAAGAGAAGACATTGGAGACACATCAGAAGATGAAGACATGTTTCCTATAGAGATCAGCTCAGAGGAAGAAAAAGAACCATTGGACAATTCAAGGTATCACAGTGGAATGAAACCTGCTACTGGGTTAATGTTCTATTCCATGCATTCTAATAGTAATTTCTATCTAAGTCAGTACATGTGGCTGATGAACGTGTTTCTTTAAGAAAAGGCTTTAGGCTAGAGAGCTGTTGGGAATATTAGTGACAAAAATAATGAAAATGGCATGGAATACTTAAGAACAATCCTCCATCATGCTGTGAACTACAAGGAGTGAATCAGATAACTTCCCTCTATCTCCTTTTAGTCCAGGTTATACTAATTCTCCTCTGCAGTAGGGTTTTTTCATTATCTGGAGTATATGACAGTTCAGTAATCCAGTATGGGTTTTAAATGTCATGTCTTTCTCTCTGCCTAGGATCCCTGTTCCAGATGTGTTTGTTGATGATATATCTGACATAAAGCCTCCTGCAGTTTCTACATTTTCTCAGTCTTCTTCTTACCCTCGTTCGGATGGAGAATGGTCACCTCTTCAAAGGTACTTTTGCTGATATTACAGTTCTAAAAAATCTTCCTCTTTCCATTCATATCTTATATGGTAGTGCTATATGAAGTCTTAAAAAATCTTGGTATCAAACATGGTCACTGTCAACTACTAGATGAATGCTTTCTGTATGTGTAATCAGGTAGCACAGAAAAACTCCAGGTTGGCTTTGTCCTCGATTCAACAAACGCATGCATACAAATTCAGATCCATAAATTCTGAATATTTCTATCTGTTCGTGTCACTGTTTGCATATAAATAGTGTAGAGACTGTTTTGTGAAACGTTTTGTGAAATCTGAATCTTTGCCTGACGCACACACCTTGGGTATAGTACTTTTAAGAGCTTGCAAGATTTGAGTTGATATGTGAAATTAAGTTTTGGGTGTTTTTTTTTTTTTTAGTTAATAAGAATATAAGCTTTCTATGTCCCTTTCAAAGCCAACCTATTGAATTGCACAGTTAGATAGACATGAAATAGTTGTGTGAAAAAAACACATACAGTAGGTTTTTTACATTTTCCTGTATGTGTATTTGTGTGCATGTGTATACCTTTGATGTCAAAACAATCAGTTTGGGCCTCCTTTCTTATGTCTGTGGAACACTGTCAAAAAGGGGCAATTTTCTGCTTAATATGCATTGCATTATAATTGCAGTGAAACCTCTGTGTGTGTGCCTCCATGTGCAGTGCCCCACATCCTCCATGCAGACTGCTGCAGCAGAGTAATATTCACAAGACTTTATTCTAAGTCGTCTGATCTCAATATACTGCCTCTGTAGTTCAGGGACAGCAGAGGGGAGAGCAAGGAGATTGTTTTAGAACAATGGCTTAGTGTAAATGCTTTGAAACACGTTCTGGAAGAAACTTTCTCCAATGACTGTACAGCATTCAGTCTGGTGATAGCATGTGTCAATACCCTGCCCCTTTGATGGTTTTGTGAACTGTAAGTTCTGGTTTTTTATTCATTGCAGTATTCTAGATTTTGAAAGCTCTAGATGTAAATTCAGCATTCATGTAGCTAATGCACAAAGAGCTTATGTTAATCAGCACTTCTGAATAATGACACCCTGTTTTTCTTTCTGTCAACATGCTGTGATGTCCAGTAAGCCCATAGGTTGCACAGGGCAATCCTCTGTTCTCACTGTTCCAGCAGATGGATGTCTATCTAACTCTTGTCCTCAACAATCTTCTCACTTTTCTCCTCCAGACAGGTAGAACGGATGTCCTCCCTCTTTCCTTTTAACATGTTAATACTCTTTTAACATATTTATAGCATGTGATCTTCATTGAATTTATAACTGCACTTATTGCTAATCCAGATGCTTTGAAAGAAAGTGACATTGAAAACCACTTGCTTTGCTTGCTTCTTTGTGGGCATTGACTGGAGTTAAGTTACCTTGATGAATCATTTGTTGAATGAAGATGACTAATATAAAATTAGGCCAATGAAAACCTGGGATAAAACTGGAGTTGATTAAGGCGATTGAAAAGAACAAAAAAAAAAGGAAGGATGTAGCTAATGAAAACTTAACGTTCCTCTGAAGATTGACATTTCCATTTTTTTGTTTTATTTTTTTTAATTCAGTGTATATTTTAATTACATTTTTATCCTATGATTTTCCCGAGTTATTTTTTTTATGCATGGTCTGCAAAAGTTAAGGCAAAAATAAGACCTTGGAGATTAAATGAGCAATAAGGAGTGCAAAACTTTTAAATGGAGGAGCCTAGTACCAAAAGGGAACTTCTTTTCCTTTGTTCCCTGGTTTGGGGGAGGGAAAGACTTTCTGTATGTTGGATTGCAGCGTGGGCACATATAAAGATGACACAATACATAAGGCAGCTTGTCTGACGTTTAGGAGACCAAGACTTGAACCTTTGCTGTAGTGTAGGATTGCTCTGACTATGGATTCTTTTCTACAGAGCTAAAAGTGGATGCAGATGCTTTTTATGATATCTTAAATTTGAGATGCCTCAAGATTCTGCAGCCAGGCAGTTTCTACCATTAGATTTTGGCAGTTGTGCATAGACTTTACAACCATATTTGAGTGGTGGAGGAATTTCCACCATTAAGTCAGTGGAGAGAAGTCACAGCAACGCAGTTAAAAAATTTAAAGTAGGTGTCTGAATACGAGATCTACAATTCTCCATTAGTGCTGAGGAAGCTTTAAGTAATAAGTCAGGGTGAATTGCTCATTCCTTATCTCAACATATGTGCCATATTAGGTGCCTAAGGCCATATCAAAACTGTCTTGGGGTTTTCCCAGGTTCTAGGTCTGTTCTGCCAATGACTAGGCCTAACAAGAATGATACAACCAGCAGAGAGACAAACCAGTAAGTAGTACGTGTGTGTTTTGCCAATGGCCAGCCCCAACAAAAATGATAGCACCAGCAGGAACACGAACCAGTACACAGACTGTATTGTATTCAAGAAGGACATTCCATGAATGACCGCTGGGGGTACAAACAAGTCAACCAGTTCACATACAATCAACACAACCCCCAACGATCCCAGAAAAGACACAATCCAACCCACAACAGGTGGTATAAACAGGGAGCCAAGGCTTCCCATGGACGGCAAGGGAAACAGCCAGACCAGAAAGCCAAACATAACACAAAGGTGCCCACATGGCAACTCCCACCCAACTAGCCTGTGTTCGTAAAGGTCTGAACTGACCGGGGCCCAGCTCCAGGAGAGTGAGGAGGTCTCTCCTTAAGCAGGAAGCTCTATGGAGTGTATCCACTTCACAGACAGACACTCCTCCCTTCCTGCCAGTGGTCCCAGCTTTATCCCCAAGCAGACACCTGACCTTTGTCAACTCCATGCAGGACCCCTGGGGCTCATTTCCCTTCTGGCTCTCCCTGCAGGGCCGGCCGCACCCTGGGGGGAAGCTATAAGGCAAACTCACCCCCTCTTTATGAAGGGCTGTGGGGATCACCCATATGTCAACCTTAATTCGGGGCTCGGGGTTCAGACCCCAGCATTTCAAGGTCTAACTTCTTTAACCTAACCATGTTGCAGCACCAGGTCAAGGTGAAATCCTGGGGCATTTAAGGCTGTTCTTAGTGTTTTTGATGGGAAGGAAGGTCAGGCCTACTGGTTGGGATGGATCAGTGATGTGCTTTGGGTGGCTCCATGAAGTTTGCTTTGGAGTTCACCTGTCCTGAAGTATAGATACACAGCTAAAGTGTGAGTAGGCCCTCTATATCTGCAACTGTTTCACAGAGTCACAGGATGGTAGGGGTTGGAAGGGACCTCTGGAGATATCTAGACTAACCATATAGCAAAAGTAGGATCGCCTAGATCAGGTTGCACAGAACGTGTCCAGGTGAGATTTGAAAGTCTTCAGAGAAGGAGTTTCCATAGCCTCTCTGGGTAGCCTGTTCCAGGGCTCTGTCACCCTCAAAGGGTAATTTTTTCCTTATGTTTAGGTTGAACTTCCTGTGTTGTACTTATTATCCATTTCCCCTTGTCCTGTCACTGGGCACCACTGAAAAGAGACTGGCCCCATCTTCTTGACATCTAACCTTTAGGTATTTGTAAGCATTGATAAGATCTCTTCCCAGTCTTACCTCCTCCAGGCTAAACAGATCAAGGTCTTTCAGCCTTTCCTTCTAAGAGAGAAGAGTATTTCCTCTGTGAAATATTTCCTCATGTTCCTCATATTTCCTCTCTGTGAAATAAGAAACTCTATTATGGTCGCCTCAGAGGAGATTCAGAATCTCTTGGCTCTTGTGACATGGAAAGAGGCCTACCTTGTGAACTTCTGGCTATCATTTCCCAGTTTATTTGTCCTCAGTCAAGACAGGACTTCTTCTCAGGTCACACTGCTGCTTTCTCAAGGCTCTCTTTGCTTTCTGTGGGAAATGCTGCAAAGACCAGGATGATTTGCTATTGCAGAACTGCCAACTACAGGCCAAGTTCTTCATTCTTTCACATTGGATTACATTAAGTGCAGTCAGCTGTTAAGAAATACGTAAGACACAAATATTCAATATTTATCAGATGTGAAATGGATATGCTAATCTAACTGACTGAACTGAAGTTCCCTTCCTTCTTGTGCAGTGTTGTCAGGGTGGGTGGCATTAGTTTGACCAGCAAGATCTCAGCTATCTATTTAGGTAAGCCAACATTAAGTGCAGTCAGCTGTTAAGAAATACGTAAGACACAAATATTCAATATTTATCAGATGTGAATTGGATATGCTAATCTAACTGCAGCAAGATCTCAGCTATCTATTTATGTAAGCCAAAAGAATTTCAGCTGGGCTGTGTCAGTGCCTAACTTAAGGATAGGGGAATTGCAAGGCATAGTTCAGCCCAAGACAAATGTCTTGGTGGTGTAAGGAAGGAATAAAGAATTCATTTTGAGTCAGATCCATGAATGGATTTGCAGGATACTGTCACTGGGTTACAAATCCTACACGGTCTTAGTATTCAGCTTTATTGACCCCTAGTACAAGCATAACATTAATTCAAGGTTTAATCTGACCTAACCAAGCTAAAAAAAAATAAAGGAATGTGATTGTGAGCTTTGATAGTCTTCAGTCTCGTTTCACTTTGGTGGTGATAGTATGAAGGGAATAGCAGCCATGGTAGTCCCAAGCAGGTATAGGAGACAACATTTGGCATTCCATATGGAAGCAGAACTATGCAAAGAGGAAGCATACAAAAGGACTGTAGTGGGCATCACTGCCATCTGCGCCCATAAACTAGAGATTATTGTTGCTGTTCAGAAAGATATTAGTGAGAGAGTAGCTATTGAGTGCTGAACAGGAATATGGCATAAGAAGAAAAAAATAAAGGTATTTCTCTGTAATGGAAAACCATTTCTCATCAGGAGGCCACCAAACCTGTATTAATGTTTGTGGGTGACAGAAAATTCCAGCTCATGTTCCAGATGATGTACGGAATGAGAATGCTTTTGTATCCTTTTACATAAGGAAAATAATTTACCCCCCCTTTGCCTTATGTGTTTGCAGTCTGATTTGGTCTTGGGCCTCTTGAATTAAGGTGACATTGCAATAAATCTGGTCTACCTTAAGATTGTGTATGGTACATATATTGAGATAGTATGGTACTCTACAAGGAGAAATCAACTGAAAAGAGTTGTGAAGATCTCACGTTTTCTTACGACTAAATCCTCGTGTTTTATTTAGAGAATGAGAATTAAGATGTCTTTGTTGAGCTTGTGTCAAAAGTTCGTTAGTGTGTGTTTTGTGTACTTTGTTTTGAGAGAGTGGGCAATATTTTGGGGATTAGGTGTTCACTCTGTTCCTAATTTGCTATCATTATACTTGTAGCTAAATCTACTCTGGACCAATAACCCAGATGGCTGCCCAGCAAGATCCTTCTCAGAGCAGAACTCAACCTGTTTTAACATTCACACATGAGCAAGTGCCATCTTTCTGCCCCTTGGATGTGTGGGTCTGAGAATACACATCATAGTGCTTGGTGCTGAATAACAGCCCGGGCGTCTTCCCACTCATCTGTGTGTACAAAGGAACTGTATTTTCAGGGAAAATAACATAAAAGGCAGTTTCCCCTCTGCTTGACCCCAGTCAGTGTTCTCGTTGCAAAATGCAGAGGTCCTAGCCCAAACTGAAACACTGCCTGTATGCTTTCAGGTTGTCTGACTAGGTGAGTGAACATGGGGATTTTTCTAAATAACTTTTTGAAGTTTAAAATATGTGTAATCCTACAAACTTCTCAGTGGGAGATGTAAAAGTTGATAAAAACCCCATTGGCATTTCTTGAATCCTTAGAGTTTTAAAATACTTTAAAGAGCTGTAAAATGGTAGGTTACACCCTAAGGACTAATAAAAATTTGAAATTCTTTGGACCAAAAAAGATCTTCCCAGTGGTTTTGCTATATAAATTTCATAGTTTAGTTAGCTACTGATAATTACATTATTGGTATCTAAAAAGTCAAGTGCTTGTCCTGTTCAAAGTGTATTTTGCTTCAAAATAGATGGAAACAAGGAATAGTGTAGATAATTATGTTGCTATTTTTTTAGATGTCTAATTCATAGATTGTTAAAAGCTGTGTGTTAGTGGGAAGTAATTCTAGCTTTAAATGAGGATTTCATGAATATACCAAAGACATGGTATAGCTCAGACGAAAAATAATGAGCTTTGTTCAGGGGAGTTCTGAATTTCTATGACTTGTGTTATGTAGAAAGGCAGAGTCAGAATCAGAATTTTTTGTTTTGTTCTTGAAATCAGTAAGTCATTATTTATTAATGATTGACCTGATATCATCACATAAAAAATATACAAACTGTTAATTTGCTAATTAATTATTAAATATATTACATTGAGTAGTTAGGAAAACAAACAGCTAAATATTTTTTAACTGGGAGTGCTCAAATTTTTGTATAGCTCTCCTGCTGGTTTCCCTATAAACACGCATCCAAGGGTAGAACTGAACAAGTTAGTAGAAGAAAGTAGTCAACTGGATTCCTTAGTCTAATTTTTACTTGGCATAAAGTGTCTTGTTGATGCAAGCAAGTAATTTCTGCATTTCGTATCCATTATAACAATACTAACATCTATTCCTTTACTGCTGGTGCCATCCCCATTCTTTCTACTGCGCAGAAAACCAAAAATCCTTCTGAAATGTTCAGATCCGGTGCTCTTGTTCCATCTTTTCCAGCTTCTCAAACACTATTTCTGTGACACCAGTTACTAAAAAATGGATGAGACCTCTGATTGCCAGTTTAAGAGGATCCTGAACTGTTTAAACTGTTTTTTCCATGTTTTCACAGTTTCAACGGGCTAATGATTGTTTAGTTCTTCAGTGCATTGGGTTGGTGGAAAGTACTTAGTGTATTGTTTTTACTTTTGGGTTTGTAATATTTTTTTTGTTTTTTGTTCAGTCCATCAGATTCACGCCCTCCTACACCTAAGAGTGACTCAGAACTAGTCAGTAAACCTATGGACAGAAGTGGACTGAAGAATAATCCCCAAATGCACTGGGCATGGGGAGAGCTACCTCAGGCTGCCAAGGTATCCAATGTAATCTAATTCCTGCTAGCATCGGTTGTGCATTAATGGGGCACATCTACTTATTGTATTGCAGACTGATGAAGAGGGAATGGATCCTGCTTTCACATAAAGTTGCAATGTTTTATGTAAGAGAATTGCATCTTGCTCCTTAGGAGATACAGTAAAGAACCTTCTGTGGTGGATGTTCTCAACACCCATGATATACAACAGAAAATGGAGAAGTACCTGAGACCTAGTCTTCTAAAAATGAGAAGTTTAAATAACATATAAATTCAAACCCAGTGTCCTTTGGTGAATCACTGGAGTTCATAAATGTCCTTAGATAGATAATAGGTGCTTAGTATTAGCAGCGTTATCCACGGAAAGTGAAGTTGGTTGCTGGAGTACATAAGCATCCCAAGACACCTGCAGCTCTGTATCTCTGTGTGCCTGGACGTGCTGAGCCAGCAGGCTTGGTGCCTGTCTGCTGCCTGAAGACATTTGGCCCAGTTAGGTGGCAGGTTCTGTAGCGAGCCAGCAGCATTGTCTCCCATGCTGCACAGCGGCCATGTGCAGCTGCATGCTCTGCAGGTCAGTCACGTTCTGCCTGGCTCCTTGTGACAGCTATGGAGTCAGAACGTTCACACAGGAGAGGGGAGACCTAGGGCATATGCCTGCCTCACAGCCAGAGGAGCAGAGGTCAGGTTCCAGTGGCATAGTGCACGTGTGTGGGTGGGGATGGTGCATAGCTGGCCACTTCTGTGGAAGGTTGGCTTCTCTGCAGAAAGGACTGCAGGAGTGATGGGGTAAGGAACAGTATAAGAAGCAGAATTCATGCTTTGCAGGACAGGGAAGTGGGTGTCCTCCTCAAAAAGAAAACTGTGTTTTGGTGGTGGCACCAGGATTATAACGGCCCTATTATAATTTATGTTTAATTCACTGTTGGTAGCTGGTGACAAAATCAGGGATGGGAATCCAGAATTCTTAATTCTTGTGGAAAAGCTTTGGTGTCATCTTTAATATGCCAGAGATGCCCATCACCTCTGCAGTATTCTCTTCCTTGTGTACATAAAACAGAAAGAAAATTCAAACCTTTTTTTCTACATACTAATTTAAGTGCATAGAACTGCTTTAAGTGCACAGGTCTAGGCAGGAGTTTCAGACTGGCATTTCCACTCTAGAATTTAGGATTTCCTGTTAGTAAATTTAGGCATTTCATTTTTATCCCAGTCACACAGCCTTGTGTGTGTTGCAAATCTTATTCCTGGAGGCTTTTCCCTCTGCAGTGCCTGTCTGTCTCTAGCAAAGCTATTAGTAGTTGATCTGGCCCTGAACTGGGAGTTATGCTTTGGATGCTGTTGATCTTCCTGTTTGTTTGCCTTGATGTGAAGGTTATAGCAGCTATACAGCTGCAGCTGTAGGATTTCAGCTCCCCTCTTTAAGAACACTTACTGTCCCATACTCAAAGAAGATCCAGAATTCTTCCTATAAAATTATTTAAAAACTAAATCTGGGTTATAGATCAGTGACAGTGTACCCCTGTCCTGGTCCTTGAGAGCATCTTCATTGTGTGAGGACTCTAGTCTGCACTCCCTTCTCAGGTGTGTCAGGGTTGCCTTCTGCAGAAAAGCTAGGGTTTGCACAGGAAGAGGGAGGGCAGCCTGGGGGCTCTGACATGCTCCCAGGCAGGTGAGTGGAAAATGAAGACTGCAGAGTGTGCTGCAGAACAAATGCTTTCCTGCCCCCAAAGTGCAGATGAATTTTCTGCAAGCCATCATGCAGCAGAGAGGTCTTTGTACGTTGTATCTACCTCAGTTAGAGGAGTCTTTCTGCTGTAGTTGGTTACCTTGAGAATCTGATCTCACTTTGTGGAGGTGTTCCTCAAGGAGGCTGGACATGACTACATCTTTTGAGAAGTGAACAATCCAGGCAGCAGTGCCAAGGCACACGTGTCAGAACAAGTGTAGATTGTTCCTGAGACATCCTTGGAGGGCCTAGGATGCAACATAAACGATACTATAGTAGCCTTTTGCAGAATTTTCTCAGGGTGCTAAAAATGTAAGGGGGGTAAAAGCTTGGCAAGGGCAATATGATTAATATTAATTTAATAATGAGCTTGAATAATTATTTCTAACCAATCCTGATATGTATGCTAAGCGCGTGCATAACTGAAACGATATATACTGGGCTATTTGGGCTAATAAACTGAGAACGACCGTTAATCGCATCGGTGTGTGCCGTTACTCGGGCCTCGCTGCTGTGACCCGTGTCCTCTGCACCACTGGAGTGAACAGAACAGGTTAAACTCTGGTGGTTGCATTTTTAAAGAGCTTTTCTTTATAGTAATCTTTATTTTTCCTCCCAGGCCAGTTCTCTGCTTAAAGCAAAGGAACCCAGTGTGGTGGATGTAAATCCTTCTGAAAGCACTCACTTTCGGGTCATCCAGAGTTCGTCTGTAGAGGAGTTTAACACCGTGTCTCCTTTACCTGCCCTTGGACAAGCAGATGCAGAAACTGCTGATGAAAGTGAGCCCTTACCAGCTGAGACTAACAAGCCAGAGACAGAGTCTCCAGAAGCAGCAGTACCACCCTTGCGTGCCAATGAAGAAATAAAACAGGCTGCAGCTTGCTCAGCCCAACCAGCTGTCAAGACAGATTCCCCTTCCAGAAAGAAAGGTAAAGCTGTTGATTCTGCACTTTTATATGTATGATTTTGTCTTTAGATTTCGTGGTGATAAAGCACCTCGTTGCCATATAAATTAATCTGTGCCCTGAAGGCACTTTCAGATCTGGGAAGGAGCAAACTTTGGAGAGAACCTTCAAAGTTTGAGCTGTGCAGCAGGCTGTTAACAGTAGCTGTGTAGAAGGATAGAAAGAAATCCTTGGTCTTGGATTTTTGGTATCTCTGGGTATATGAGCAAGACTGCAGAACTTGCTCCAAATTCATCTATATTTAACAGATTCAGAGGTTTCGCTTTGGGGTACAAGCACACTGTCACTCTGCTGGTTCACCTGCCCTGACTAGTTCCTGAGTTGGGTCGCTGCAAACTGGGGAACTTCTCTGTTCTAGTACAAAGTTGTAGAATGTTTTTTTGCACAAAAAACTCCAATGTGCTATAAAATAAGGTGCTTTTGTTTCACATGAGCAATTTAAATTCTATGTGGTACACATCATGTCCTGAATTTATGAAGTCTAACTCTCTCTGCTTTTCTACTTTTTAATTTCTGGGCTTTAGATCCATGATATTTTATAATGTGTTACAGTCTTCACATTAAATTTATTTGCTTACAAATTATATGATTTAGAGTTCTTATTTTATAATTATGCAAGCCCTTGTGTATAGTTTGTGCAGCTGCTTTTTAATCAGTAAACATACAAGTTTCTTAGCTGCTTCCCCATGCATTCCACTGTCTTTGAAGACAAAAACTGATGGTGTTACTGTGTGTACTATTCAATCTTCATTTAACCTTTTTCTGATTGCTTTTTTGATGTTTGATGTTGGAAATGGGTGCAGTAAGAAGTCATAGGTTTTAGAATTAATTCCAAATTTGATTTTGGCCTTAAAGAGGTTATTTGTCTAGAGGTACCAGCAGCAACAGGACAGCAATGACTCGGTGTGTTGGTACTAGTGAAGGACCTAGGAGGGTTGTCCTGTCCCCTGCCAGTGGTGCACGTGCCCACACGACACATCAGTTATATGTGCTGAACAATGTGACGTCTCCATAACGAGCCAGTTATGGCGTATCAGTGACTGCAGTGTTGTCTGTTATGTTACTTCCCTTTGGCAAGAGGGGATTGAAGATTAGGTCTTGGAGATTAAATGCTCTGATTGCCTTACGGTGATAACAGGCCTATGCAAATACTCAGTGAGTTTTCCTTTTGCTGTTTTCCTACAGCGACCACTGACTTCTAGTTCCCAGTGGTTTTGTGTGGAATGGGGAAGCTTCAGCACGCCTCAAAACCAGTCCTCTGCTGTCCCAGTTGTATTCAAAATCTGAACTATGTATAGGAGCAACTTGCTTTGAAATTTTTGGCAGTACTATTTTATACAAATACAGTTCACAAACTGTTATAACTTGTCTAATTTCTCAATCTTAAAATGAATAGTTAAACAGTAATAAGAGTTCTGGCTTGATACTCAGAAAATGCTCATTAATAGGCTTATTTGTGCCATCCCTTACAGAAAAACGAAGCCGGCATCTTGGTGCTGATGGTGTCTATTTAGATGACCTCACTGACATGGATCCAGAAGTTGCTGCACTTTATTTCCCCAAGAAGTATAAGTCCTTTGCTTATATTTTTACTATTTAAAGAGCTCTTGTCACCTTCCGGATTTAGATCAAACTTCCGATTACCAAACAGATCAGACCCCTTTTTCAGAGTCCAAGCAGAGGTGAAAAAGGAGAACAAAACTCTGTAGAGAGGAGTATTACAGCTTTTGAAAGGCTCTACATATGGGCGGGAGAAGTGTGTTTGGAACAGATTTCCTGTTTTCATTAATTAGGCGTCCTGTATTGACTGTGGATTGTTATGTAATGTACACTGATGTTTCTGAGTGTTACTCATGTGCCCTGGGAGAGCAGTTGGCCTTGGGATATATTTAACCACATGTCCTTGCTTATTACCATGAAGAACGTATCTTACTCTTAACAGTATTAGCACAAAATTATTGCTCTAATGTTGTTCTACTGTGGGTGATCACCTGTGAATATGAATGTTAGAAAATAATATTTGGGAGACATATGACAGATTTATTTATGAAAATATTGCGCTCTGAATGTAGAATTTCTACCTTGTTCCAATCTTTATTAAAGCCTCATAATATTTTTACTTCTCTTTCCACATCATATTCTGGTCATATGACTAAAGTCATTGAGCAACAGCTAAAGTAGCTTGCATATTTTTTGTTCCTACTTGCTTCAACTCAGCTATTGTAATATTAGCATTTCAGTAAAACTGAGAAAGATCAGTAATATGGAGAAAGAAGTTGGATTGAAAATTCCTCTCAAATGCATGAATAAATCACAAATTCATATAAATCTAGAATGCAAAGCAGAGTTTGATGAGCCTGTGCTTTGTAATAGGGATTTCATCTACACATAGGTTTTTAAGTGGGTATAACAATCTATTGTTTCTTAAAATTTCAATCCTATTAGCTTATGTTGAGTATTTTATGTGTATATATATGACATAAATACAGAAACATACACACGTTTTGGTTATCTATCAGTTTATGAAATCAATATAAATTAAATAATTAACTAATACATGTATGCTGGTTCCTGTGGGGAATTGCTCTGCTGGTATAAGCTCTGCATATAGCAGCATTATTCTGTCTACTAAGACTGTATTGTTTACTGCCTTTTTTCCTGTCTCTTGTAAGTGAAGTGTGTGTTAGACATAAACAGAGCTTGCTGAAGGGAGCGAAACTGAGACTGAATACATGGGGACTGAATTCCTGATTTTTCTTTTCCAGTGGGGATAATGTCCAAAGCAAGACCACGAATGACGTGGGACCTCAGTCTGCCAGCCAGTCTCCACAGTCTGTTGGGAGCTCAGGTCTTGACAGTGGAGTTGAAAGCACCTCGGATGGAATTCGAGATTTGCCCTCCATTGCCATTTCTCTCTGCGGAGGCCTTACTGACAACAAAGAAATAACCAAAGGTACAGAATGACCTTCTGAGCCACAGGTGTGTGCCCTCAGCCAGGTTTTAGCCCCCTAGACCGAGGAAGCAGTGCCCTCCTGTGGCTGTACGCGAGAATGTGTTCAGAAGATAAAATACTGCCCCTCTAATGCTGTTTCCTAGTTTAAAATAGTAGGCTGATATAGGATATAAGATTTTTAACATATTTTAATGCAGTAATATGGCATCATAAAATCACATGAGCCTGATGCTACACTGATTGCTGTTCTGAAGCTAGTTATTAAAACATTTTAAATATACTGTGATTTACTGGAGTTGTATTGTTATCTGAATCACTTGCAGATTACACAGATTTTGTGAAAAGAGTCGCAGCCAGTGGAAGGGGTACTTAATCGTAGGTGTTTTTGCTTTGCTGCAGGGCTTTAAAGTGATCATTGAGTTTCTGGCTGTGGATTAACGTGTGTTGATCCCATCAGTTCCTGCTCCTAACTTGGACAGAAGATCAGTGAATGGCATGGCAAAATAATTCCTTGCCTTGCTTAGAAGCTTGAATTTCCTCCCTCACAGTTCCACCTGTGAGCTTTCAATTAGCTTATACTTTGAACAGGAAGGACACCCAGCAGCTGACAAAGAAACCCTCAGCATCTTCTGAGACTGAAAGTCTTAACATCTTGCTTCTATATTACTGCTAATCTCAGCACCCTAGTAATGAAGGGGTGACCCTGAACTTAAAACCTACATATCTGAGAAATACGAAGAGGATTAGATTGGCCCATCACAGGCATCTATAAATGCATGCTTTACATGTGTCATTTTTTCCCCCCACAGAAGAATTTTTAGATCATGCAGTAACGTATCAGCAGTTTGTGGACAATCCTGCTATCATTGATGACCCTAACCTTGTGGTAAAGATTGGAAATAAGTAAGTATATTTGAGGAAAAATATATTTTACTGCTGTAACAAAACCACCTCAGTGGTACTTCAGTGTGTTGAATCAGTTTAACTGTAGCTGAAAAATAGGCTTTGAATGTTTCTAGCTTAGATTCATCCAGAAAGAGTAAATTCTCTGAATTTATTTTATTTGCCTTTCTTTCTCTAAGTTTAGAGTAAAGAGCAGTTTCAGAAGACCTGTTACAGCTGACACAATTTGCATTTCAGGAAGCTAGTATTAAATGCTAATAGCATTCTCACTCAATTGGGAGAGTGAAAATAAAACAGGATGTGAACTCGCTAAGGTTTGCCCTGAGCCAGCTTGAATAATTAATTTTTACAAGGATATGGCAGTCTGCTTGCAAGCACTCTGTACCCAACAGTTTGTCTGTGTATACTGAATATTTTGCTAATATGCTTCTATGGAGGCATTGCTTTTCCAGACTTGTCAAGCTTCACCCACTGAGTGTGAGTTCTATTTCTGCAAGGCTGACATTATTTCATATGTTTATATTGCTGGCAGCAGTGCAGCACTACGGTCTATGGCAGACGCAGCTTTTTGGAGTATGTTTTAATTTGAGAGCTGCTTGCACCCGGCATGCAGTGCTGCAGAGTAGGGGGAGATCATGGCATTGTGCTGCACTTAGAGCTTACGTTACCCTTAGTCACAGACGTCACTTGCACAGATCTGACAGGCCTGGTGCATCCTTATGTGATAGTTTGGATTGCATCTGCCATGGCCTCGTACCTGACCCTTGCTGTGGTCTGAGGTGGGTCACTTAGTGCTTCCCTGTCCATAGTTCTCTGAACTGGATGGTAATGCCCACCTGCCTACTGGTATGTAGGGAAGAGAGGAGTACTTAATGAGGATCTTACTGCCAGTCTCTGGATGTCATGTCAGCTTCAGCTTCCCTAGACAGATGGACAGTAGTACTCGAGTATTGAGCACTATATACTTCAGTATAACAGGACTTGACCCATGTTCAGCACGGAATAGCAAAAACTTAACATCCTACAGACTATAGCCCCTAAGTTTTGTGTAATTCCTTGGTGGAAAAACAGTGAAAGCAGCTTGTAAAAATGTAGCTCCTGATGTCATAATAGGGTATAGTAAGGACATGAGGAGTGTATGACAAATACCCTTTCTACTCAAGGATCTAGCTTCTCTTGCATATCTTGAAAAGTATATGCTGTAAATACCTGTGAGCAGACTGTGGAATAAGGTGGATCTGTTATTAGTGGTGCAGGCCAGAGTTTGACCTGTGCCAAAGAAGATTCATGGCTTTAACCTGCGAGATGATCAGTACTAGGTAGATTCTGAATTGGAACCTTGGGATTACAAACCACAGTAGCCATCTCTCTTGCATGCCCAGGTACTACAACTGGACGACAGCTGGTCCCCTTCTGCTGGCAATGCAGGCGTTCCAGAAACCTTTGCCAAAGGTGAGATTGAACATGAAGGTTGGTCAGAGTAGGAGCTGTGACAGTTTTTTGTTGTACAAAAGAATCTGCACATGGGTAATATCTATCCACACATGACCATTCATATGGCTTATATTTAACGGGTAAATAAGCAGGACTAATTTGGGTCTGTGAATAGTGTTTGTATTTGCTAGGCTAAGTTCATTACAAATATTTTGAAGGTATTTTGAAGGTAACTGCATTTTTAATTAAACACTTTGATGCCTGAGCCAGATGTTTTGGGTTTTGCCTAGGATAAGTAAGTGGAAATAAATGGTATGAAGTATTTTTGCTGTTAAGTTAAGGGAAATGGCAATTCTTTCAGCAACATTATGCTTACACCATTGTTCATATAGGTTATTATTTAAGAAAAGACTTTAATGAAGTGTGCAAATCAGTATTTCGCGGGTTTTTTTGAGTGATTAACTTAATATTCTGAATGCTGATGCCTTTCTAGACAGTGCAGTTTTAATTTAGTGGAGAAGCCAGTATTTATAATTTGAACAGTCTCTATGACTGGAAAGATTTACTTGGCTGAAGTGTATCTTTGAAAACTAAAATTACTCATTTATGCTACCAGTCATCCTAGTGTTTTTCTTGATGACTAGTTAATTAGAGTTTTGATTTACTGTAATAATGCAACTAAGGAATTGAAATGCTAACGTATATCAAAACAGTCTTTATGAAGTGACTGAAAACTGGAGTTTTTGCAAAAAACCCACTCATGTTCTGCAAAATACACATAAGTGCATGTCTAATTGTAAGCATGGGATTTATCTGAGTAAAGTCAGTAGGACATCTGCTTGAAATTGGCCATATGTTTGAGAACCTCCTTAAATTGTAGCCATTGTTCTCAACAGTGGCATTCCGTTATCAGTAGCTCCATCTGCAGCTTGGTTTTCTTATTTTTGTTAAAAAATTTCTCAACTTACTTGCTAAACTTTATTCTTCTGACATTTCTTTATTTTCTAATATACTTTAGATAGTATAGTGAAGAGAACCCATGGAAAATTGAGAAAAAGGATGCATTGTCCCACACAGTAGCTGAACTTAACTCTCTTTATTACCTGCTAAGAGTTCTTGGAATAATTTTTTTTTTTTTTTTTTAAATCACTAATCAAGGTCATGATTTTATTTTGATGACTTTGTTTACAGTGGAGGCTATTATCTCAGAAAGCCAGTGGCTAAGCTATTCTAGGATGTACCAAAAGCTATGGCCCCATACACTGTAGTATTTTCCCCTTCTGCCTTCTGCTAGCTCTTTGAGTGAAAGAATTCAGCTCTCCTTGTTACAATGCATAAGGCTCCAGTCATTATGGGTATTGAAAGAAACTTCTCTTCTCAGGTGTAGTATATCTAATAAATGAAAAATAGCCAGGGTTTAAAAAACCCCACAGTTCTAACATTGTCAGTCAAACTCATAAAGCTAGTAACTAACGTCTTTGCTTTTTTCAAACTGATGTTTAAATATGAACTTTGTAGTTATTTTAAAATGAGAACAAAAAATTTGCATGTGAGTTTGTTAGTGTTTTGTATGAGAGCTCCTTCAGGAAATTGCTTTTCTTTTTTTTTAAAAATGATTTGCATGAAGTAACTTAACTTAAACAGTAGTTTCTCCATTCTAGACACTATACTAATATCTGTTTACGCTTTTTTTCTTCTTTGATTTTTATCTGTTTTTCATTTTCCTTTTAAAAATACCATAAGTATTCATGCTTAAGTTACTTCAGAGCAGCTCTGGATACCATTAGGTTTTGCTTTAGTAGAATTTATGGTCCACAGACAGTATGTTTACTTTTATTCTATTTATTATCAGTTAAAATTGTGTGTTTCGCACTTTCTTTCATTTACGTATGTCAGGTTGTCCTTTGTTTTGGAATTTTTTTTATGTTACCATCCATTTGTCACAGGCCACTGTGGAATCTATAATGAGAGACAAGATGCCCAAAAAAGGTGGAAGGTGGTGGTTTTCATGGCGTGGGAGAAACAGCACTATTAAAGAGGTAGGTTTAACAAGCAAGCAGAGTTTCCTTCTGGTGGTGGTGGGAGGGCTGGATACCTCCATATTCATCCCTCGGAACCTTGCTTCTGAGAGTAACTCAACATTCAATTTGGCTGAGCATATATGCATTAAAAGATATTTAAACAGGGTCTAAGGTTTGACTTCAGAAAGCTTTGGATCAGACTCTCCCTGAAACAGTTGCCTGCAGTGTTTTAGTTTTGCGTTAACTTTCATTACACAAACCTGAGGCAGTATTATCTGAATGATTAAATTTATGTTTTGGAACATAGAAATGAAGAGCCATGCCATTAATTAAATGTTTTCACGCAGATTACCTACCATTATGCAGTTGCTTTTGATAGTTGGAGACCAGACATGTTTATGAGTAGTGTAAGCTGTAAAATTCAGCAAAACCTAAGGTGGAAACAGATGATATATTACTTTTAAAGTCTTTTTGAATTTCTTTTCTGAGCATTAAAAGTTTGTGGCAACAGTCTCAAAGCCATGGATGAACATTAAAGAACAGTGAAAAAAAGCAGAACTTTAGATGAAATATTGATCTCCTGTCTAGACATATTTAATCTTTAAAGTTGGCTAATAAAACCTCTTCATATTAATTTATACTACTGAAGCATTAGTACTTGAGAACAGAAAATGATTTCTAATGCAGTTTTATGGTTGTGCCGCAGTCTATGAACTTTTTTAGCCTTGTGAACAATAACCATTGTACTTTTCTGTGGGTATGGACTTCAGAGCACAAGATTGTAGTTTTTACAGTTTGTTGAAGTTTTTAGGATTTCTCTTGGAGTGGAAGTATTTGGTTATATCTTGAGCTGTGGTAGCCATGAACTGATAAATGGAGATGTTATTGTTGTTTGAGTGTCTCAAAATCATTGACTATTTAAAAATTGATAGAGTTTAGCACTTACTCAGGGTAAAGCAGTTTGGAAAGTTTGACTGGATTAAAGAAATCAATGATTCTGTGAAAGGCTTTTTTTTTTTTTCTCCTCCAAAGTGTTGCTTTGCTTTTTCAGGTGAAATCTAGCTATTTCAGGTGCATGAACTGAGTGGTTATGGGTTTTATCCCAGAACTTCAGCAGTACTAGATGTGAAATCTGATGTTTCTGTACTTCTTCCATGTAGAACTAAATCTTAGTTTTTCTTCTGAGTTTTATATTGGCAATTTTTAGTTCTTTGTGCAGCCTTTATTCTTTAAGAAAACCATGAGGCTTTACTCTGCCTACCAGCAAAGGAAATAAACATGCTGTTGATTTTTACCAAGTCTATATAGAAAACAGAATTTATGTTTCCAATATTGTTCTACAAACATTTGGTCTGTCCCCAGCAGGAGATGCACAGCTTCTCATACTTGTATTTTTACAGGAGACAAAGCCAGAGCAAGGTATGAGTGGGAGTGGACTTACAGGAGAAGGCTCTTCACAGATGAACATGGCAAACAGGTACCTCCAAAATTATTTCTACCCAAAATGAGCAGGAGTTATCAGTTAAAAATGAACCTGATACAGTTTATATTTGTTAAATAATATATAACACATATATACTGATATATTTGACCAAAGCGATACTGTGTCAGTGAAACACGTGTAATGAGTTATTCGCTGCACCGAAGAGGCGCAGGTGGGAAGGCTCCACCCCTGACAGGGTGCAGACCTTGCGAGTGTGCTCTGGCAGTTCTGTGGTTTGACTGGCAGCTCTGTGACACACATTCCAGCCCTTTGAAAACAAACAATAATTGGAGAAGTTCTCCAAAGCTGTGTGTATTTCTCTATAGCATTTTCAGAGGAACACTGTAGATGACCCCATGCTATTGTCAGATCCTAGTTGCTAAAATTTCTGATTTACTTATTCATGGCCTGACAACTTAATTTGTTCCTGAATATTTTGGGAAGTTCAGAGGCCTAAGACTTTCCAGAGTCTTTTTCACGGGCAATAGTCATGGTTTTCTGTTACTGCTTTGAAGCACTGCAGAAGTCTCTTCATTCTCATGCTTCAGTAAACAAACTGCACGGCCCGAACCTCTCCATCAGGAGGAGGGTTCCATAAGATGAGCTTTGACTTGATTTGGAGGCTTTGGAGGGATGAGTTAGCCAGAGACAGCTCGCCTACCTTGACAGGTTTCTGTACATACAGTTCTTACTGTAAAGACAGCCTGTCTGTGTGCTGCCTGTACTTAGAGCTGGAAAGGGCTAGATTCAAATACCCTTTATGCTCATTAGCTTAAGTTCAAGGATCACCTTTATGAAACAAAAAGGCATCAGCTGTCATTCTTTCTGGGGATCAGCAGTTGCAGTTCAGGCAACTGTACTGGAAGAAAGATTCCGCATTCTATGGAAGACAAGCTGTTGTCTCAGTTGTCTCTCTTGAGTTTGTGAGAGCCACAGAATAGATTGGAAAGGCTGATTTTCTTTTTAAGGATGACAAGTGACATTTAGGTCTGTTTCTTACGTGGTTGTTTAAAGATAAGCTTTAAAGCGGGATTAAGACTTCAAGCAGACTACATTCTGTAATTAGTATTCTTTGTTTAAATTTTAACTGACCTTAGGAATCTGTCATGAAGAATTTATTGCTTGCAATCAAAATGTGGCAAGTGGGATATTGAGTAAAGCTTTTGAGATCTGATGTTACAAAGGATAAAAGGCTTTTAAATGTTACTAGTCATGACATATGGTACCTTGGTGCTGGGTCAAGACTTCCTAACATTAAGCAACATCTAGGTGTGATTGAAATAAGAGGCCAAATGCTGGTTGTTTTAAAGATGCCATTTGTAGAATCTGAAAGGGTATTTTACCTTCCCCCTAAGATGATAATTTGTTTACTGTAGGAAAAGTTTCTCTTTGAAGAAAAGTATCCTTAACAAATTTCTCAGACAAAAATGTAGCAGAAAAAGCAGCAGTTATACTGATGTGGATTTAAACAGAATTGCATTAAGGAGCTCAGGTTTTATGACTTTTCATCATAATATCCTGAATCCTGGAAATAATCCTGCAAATCCTGGAAAAAAATAATCCAGTGATGTAAAGTAGGTCGTTGAAAGAAGAGGAATTATTTTCTATAGTAAATTTACCGTCATCTGAATTTTTTCATCAGTTGCTACATTCTCTGGGGGAGAAGAGAAAGGGAGGAAGAAAAACCCAGCATAACAAATGCCCCTTTCTTCTTCTGAGAACTGAGGAATTTTTGTAGTTAGTGTCTGGGTATGATTTTTTTACTACTTATGAGATTTTTAAGTCAGTATGGTACATTAATTTACATCTGTTTAAATTTAAAAGTAATGAAAACTAGCTTATAGATGGGTGAATGGTTAGAGCAATCCAAGTATGGATAATGAGTAGTATGTGTGAATGAAAATTCAGCACTTCATTGATATATTTAGAGCTATGATGTGAATGACCTCCTGTGAGACAGTGCTTAGGAGCAGAGAATCAATGACTTATTTGGTGACTCACTGTTAATGCATTTTTAATGGATACTGAGATGCATTTACTGACATGATAACATCATTTTCTGTGTGTGCAATGTTCCAGAATAAAAGATGAGTCTTCTTCAAGCGACGAAGACCCTAGAGCTGCTAAACAAAACCTCGGGTCATTACAAACCAACTCAAGTCATCTCTCATTATTGTCTGGCATCAGTTACAAAAAAACACTCCGACTCACTTCTGACCAGCTTGTGAGTTAATTTTACATCCTCATCCTGAAATGTCATTTCTAATACAACATGATCAATATTGTTATTCAGGCTTGCAAGGCTTAATTAGCTCTTATGTCTTAAGTTTAATTCACTGTCTTGTTATATTTTCTTAAAAAAAAATGTTTTCCCTTCTCTTTTCAGTATTAAGCATGACTGTTGTACCTTGCAGCAAGTTCTGGGGTTCAGAGATTGGGAGACAGGGATCCAGTTTAAAAAAATACCAAATTAAATTCCAGAGTATGTGTTTGTCACCTAAATAAGCATATTGGAACCACATCCTTTTTGTATTATGTAAATGTGTATACGTTAAACCACAGACCTTTCTTTGCTTTTTTATTTTATTCTCTCCTTTCCTTTCCCTTCATTCACAGGGAGTCAGTCACATTTCACATAAACACAGGTTTTCTGTTAGTAACTTTTGAAAGAGTTGCTTGTGAATTTACTCTGAGGCCAGGCTATTAATTTCTTTGGAGCCAGTTCTCTTCCTCTGTGACAGGTGTTTTACGTTCTGCACATTCCAGTTTGATCTGGAAACATGGGCTACTTCAGGGAAATACTTTTTTGTTGTCTTATCTACAGACAATTGATTTTCTGAAGGAAACGCATACAAGGCATATGGCATTAAACAGCCCATCACTCACTGCCTGAATAGTTTGTAAGAAATGTGGATTTTTTCCTGAGAAATAGGATGTGTTGGTAATTTTCTTTAGCAAACAAAAAGTAAGGGTTACATGAATATATTGATACTTTTCAGATTTAGAAAAATTGCAGAAATTAGCTGAAGCTAAAACTACTTTTAGATTGATCTTGTGATGAAACAGTGAGTGAGATTCATCAGTTACCCATTAGTGATTCTGCATTCTCACCTCCTTTTCACGTTTTAACTAATAGGAAAATTACAGTGAAGTATAACTAAGAGAAAGAGACACTTAAATCCACTCTGTTAGGTTTTGTGAAAATGAATAGTCAGACCCACAGTGAGAATCAAATCTCTTGCCCAGCATGTTGCTTGGTGACACAAGAGACAGTGGGAGGGAAGGGCGGGGAAGTGGGAGAGTTAAGGAAAGCTGGTGGAGACTGAAGGGCAATAGGCCATATAATACCATGGGTGGGTTGTTGTAGGAGAGCGATTTAATACCATAGAACACCAAACTCCATATAAACACTCTTGATTAGAGCTCATGGAACTCCTCGTTACCCACATTTCTCTCTGCATATGTATTTCTTTCTCAGAATGGAAAACTCCCATAGATAGTTGCTGTTCCTTAATCTGTTATCGTTTCTGTGAACTTTTAGGTCTTGGATTTATTTTATTTTTTTTTTTATATCTCTGACCATGAACCAGTTTTTGGTTGGTTCATTTGTTCTGCTCTATAAATCAATGCCTAATGTAACCACACAGGGGAAACCTCTGCTGCCCTTACTGCCTTGAGCAGAGCTATTGTCTAAATCTGATTCAGTGTGACCAAGTCAGCGGTCATCTGTGACTTTGTGTTTGCACTGTGCCAGTTTCACATGCTCCGTTTGTTGATTATCTTGCTGATAATGTCTTGCAGAAAAGCTTAAAGCTCAAAAATGGCCCCAATGATGTGACCTTTAGTGTTACAACGCAGTATCAAGGCACTTGCCGCTGTGAAGGCACCATTTACCTTTGGAATTGGGATGATAAAGTTGTTATTTCTGACATTGATGGAACAATCACACGGTGAGTTCATGAGCAGGGAGAGGCTTTATCTGTGAGGGTAAGTTGTCTTTTGGACTAAAGGAAAAAGTATCCAACAGGATATCTGAAGTCACATAATTATTATATTCTAGTGTATTGGGCAGGGTGGTATTTTTTTTTTATTTGGCTTTCAAACAATGCAAGAATCACTGGCCGAAATCTTAATAAAGACACATGCCATATGTGCCCATGGTTTGTCACCTGTTGATGTTTCATGATAATATTTACTATTGAAGGACCTTTGCAAAATAATCAGCTCTTTGCTGCATCACTCTAATGAAGTATGCTGGCTTCATTAGAAAGAAGAAACACTTGAATTCTGCTTTAAAAGGCATTACTTGAGTGTGCCAGTGAAAGCGCTTATTATTTAGAAGAAAAAACTCCAAAATCAGTGTCAGGATTGGAATTTGATGGAAAGTTTCAGATTACTCCTTTGGTTAAAACGTGTCATTTTGGAGTGACCAAAGTGATTCATTCACTTGTTGATTTTTATTTATTTCTTTATTTGACATTGGGGAAACCAATTGTGTATGGAACACAGAAACACATAATAAAAATGTAAGCATTGTCTTTTGACCTTTTAAAATGAAATGCTTAGATTTGTTTCAGAATCAATTTCTTTCAAAATCCAACTTAGCTGTATTTAATTAGAAAAAAGAACAAGGCAAAATAATTTCCAAGAGCAATCTGGGATGAATTAAAATACTTGATTTAAACTGAAACTCTTTTCTTCCATGTGATTTGTCCATTGTAGGGCAAACTTTTTTTTTTTTGTGCCAATACAAATTAATATCCACCCTGCTTTGTTGTCTTAAGTTTCAGTAAAGTGAATGGGATCTATTCTCTCTGCTGTTGAGCTGACCAGAGAGATATCCACCCTGCTTTGTTGTCTTAAGTTTCAGTAAAGTGAATGGGATCTATTCTCTCTGCTGTTGTAACCAGAGAGTTACAGAATCACTTTATCTTACAAGACCATTGCAAATCCATCCTAAGCCAGTGCCCAATGTTTTTCTCTTTGAACATGCAGGAATTCAGGTGTGGGTTTCTTGCTGCGTATCTGTATAATGCTTAGTCAAGTGGGGTGCTTGTTAGTTTGAATTTCCAAATGTTACTATAGTGTAAATAATTTTCTCTCATGTAAAATGGGAAATACATTGAAACCAGTATAAGTATTTCATAATACTTTTCTATGTGACCAACTTCTAGCTTTATGTGGAGAAGTTATTTTGAAGTAAGCATGAATATGACTTACCTCGTGCTTGCAAATTCCCACAAACTTCCCTTATGGCTGGATGTGGTTTCTTTAGAAAACATTTATTGTAAGTCTCAAAAAGTATGCTTAGTACTGGCCAGCCTGCTACCCAGTTCTGATTTTGACAGCCTATATGCTGTAACTTTGATATTACACTTCCATGTTGCATTATGTTTCATGAGCTTATCCGTGCAGACAAGTCCTGGGGGACAAGAGTAATTAAAATGACATGGCCAAGGCTGGGCATGCCAGCCCATCTCAGAAGAAAGGCAAATAAAATCATTCTCTTCTAATTACAATCAGTACCTTACAGAAAACCTTATTTTCCTTTGCTGCTAGCCAAGTAAGTTAGCAGAGACTGTATTAGCCTCAACAATTATTATAAGTATTGGTTTTGGTTTATTATTCAGTTCAATTGTATTGTTTTTCCTTTATTCAGGTCAGATACTTTAGGTCATATTTTACCGACTCTTGGCAAAGACTGGACACACCAAGGGATTGCAAAGTTGTACCATAAAGTGAGCCAGTGAGTATTCAGTACATCTGTTCATGCATCTGTGGCTTGTTTGTGTTTATTCATTTGCACATAAACATTAAAATTGCTCTAGGCTTCTCTTAACCTATAAAAGTGGCAGTTTCATCAATTTCTTGTCACTTCAGTGATGCTTATGCAGTGTAAACATCTGCTGTATGATGCAGAGCAAACCCTGCTTTGTGCTATCAAAACCAAAAGGCCCTTATCAATTAGTAGTGATTGCTCTTCCAGCCATCACAAACATATAGACACTGTTAGTTCTAAAAACTGTAGTCATTTGAGTGAGTTGTACAGTTGCAGCAAGTGGAACTTTCCTGTAAACTAGGGAGTTGCCAGCAGCATTAATTTTTAAGATGCTAACCCACCTTCCCTTTCCTCGCTGAGGACAATGTGAAATGCATAAGAACAGTTTAGCTTAGGGTGGTCACTGTAGATGGAGTTCTTGCTAAACTTGACTCACCTGGAGTCATGGGGGGATGGAATCTAAAAAAAAAGGGAATGAATCTGTCTGGGGGAGATCCCTCTCTTTCCAGTGTGTAGAAGGGGAGTTTAGTGAAACGTCTTGGTCTGGAACTGTCTCAACGTTAGGCTTTTCATCTTAAAGCACAGCACAGTGTCTTGTCTTGAGTAGAAATGGACCCACTTCAGATACTTACTGCTAATATTCTTGATTTTTTATTTATCGTATAAATAATGATGAGCTTCAAAGACATTGATGATCCCTGCTTACTGTAGGGACTAGATGGCGTTTAGGGGTCCCTTCCAACCCAATACTTTCTGTTTCTATGACCTGTACTACTGATGATTGTACAATTTATTTAGTTATTCCCACGTATGAGTATTTGTTGTTATTCCATTGTTAAACTACAGCGTTAGGAAGGATCAGTCTCAGAATATTTTTGTGTCTTTGGTTAATTTTGAGAGTAGGTGATAAGTAAACATTGCTTAAAGTGCAATCTAAAGGTATTAAAAGCCAGTAAGACATGCTGTGAAGAGCATGAGGAACAGGCTTTTACCTGGCAACACCAGGCTGAGCTGCTGTCTTATAGCTCAGTAGTTGACCTGCACTAGTGACTGTTGGTACACAGTAATAAATATCTTCTGTGCCACTGTGGGTGGAAGGACCTGGATTCATTGTGTTTACTTGTGACTTGTATGCTCCATGTAATCTGTGGAGAAAGACAGTCATCTTCAAAAAATGGCTCAGGATACCTGGTATCTAATGATGTTTTGAAAAAAAATATTTGTTCCATTAACTATTGAAGCAGTCTTGGGCAGTAGTATATCAGTTGTGCTTTGGGGCAGTTAATGTTAAGAGGGAGAGTGTCATGGTGTGGTCTAGAACAATGTATTAAAAAAAACAAAAACCCTGGGCATTACTTGTGACTTGTACACTTCATGTAATCTGTGGAGAAAGACAATCATCTTCAAAAAATGGCTCAGGATACCCGGTATCTAATAATGTTTTGAAAAAAAATATTTGTTCCATTGAAGCAGTCTTGGGCAGTAGTATATCAGTTGTGCTTTGGGGCAGTTAATGTTAAGAGGGAGAGTGTCATGGTGTGGCCTAGAACAATGTATTAAAAAAAAAAAACCTGGGCATATTTCCTCTGATATTAGTGAACAGGAGAAAAATAATCAGACCAAGTCACATGGGGTGATGTATGGGAATGCCCCTAGGTGAGCAAGGTCAGTGCAAGAGTACAGGTGCATTGTTGGTTCCCTCAACACACTTTACAATGTAGTCAAGCCATTGTGTGCACTAGAGGTACAAAGACAGAGTGTGGTGAGTTCTGTGATCAGCAATTGAGAGAAAAAAGGAAATGAAGAGAAAAATGAATTGATGTCTGAATGGGATCAAATAAATTATATGACTTTTACAAGGAAGACAACTGATTGCTGTTTGTTGAGGTTGATATTTCTGCTTTAAACAGAAAATAAAGTTAGTTTTCTTTCATTATGTTAAATTCAGCTGTTCTTACATATTCAAATTACCATAAATGTTTGAAGTGCTTCTGGTACACATCACAATTGTCCATTTAGTTAATCTGATTTGCTCTGTGTACTAGTTATATGCTAAGGTTTGTTTATGGCTTTTGTTTTACATGGATGATGAATTATAAATTAGGAATGAAGGAATCTAAATTATGCCAGAGATTTGTCTGTGCTTTTATTCTCTATAGACCTACATGGTCACAGAAAAGGCAGGACAGCCAGGGAATTCACATGCTGAACAATATTTAGTTCTGTGTATAACCTCTGCATTATGTTTGGTGAAAACATTCTTTATTTTTTTTAATTGCAGTTGTTATTTCTATGCCTGCCAGCACTGTCAATTGTTAGGGGTTTGGTGATGATAAACATAGAAGAAAAAAATAGATTTGAGTCATATTGTTTTTCAAATTACCAAGTTAATTACGTAGTGGCTAGATATTACAGCTGAACACCATCTAAGTGTTCAATAGTTAGATTTAATGGTCATGCGTGCACTGAATACAATATATCTTTATTCTATGAACAATAACTTCTTTATGGGGTTTGCAAAGTAAATTGCTATTAAGTTGGACTAACATAATTGGAATCTTTTCTGTCATGAATAGAAACAAGGGTAACCTGTGACTTCTGCCAAAGCTTTTATTTCAGTGTCAAGTCAAAGATTACTTCTCATACTGTGATTTGCAGTTCAGATTTGCTCTGACTTGAATATGTTACTGCTGCACACAGAGTAGTTGTTTTTTGCAGAGGCCCAAGAGACAGGATTACAACACTGTTAATATAGCAGAGGCTATTACACCATTGTCTGCTTTATGCCAAGTGTTTTCCCCTTAACAAATGTCATTTCAGTTAATTCTGAGGAGTGTGGTTTCACTGTGCAGGGGTGGATAGAAGACCATAGCAGTCGTAAGTTGTGGGGAGACCAGAGATAAATGAGCCCTCTTTAGGTGTAAATCACTAACTGCAGTGGAGCTAGATAGATTTTAATTGTCCAAGTTTCTGGCATAAATATTTTTATTCCTTTTAAGTAAGTCTAGGTTAAATAAAAGTCTGCTTAACAGTCATGGTTTGATTCATGTAAAAATAAATCCACAAAATTGTTAATGTCAAAATACCTCCTTTGTTTTTGTAGTAAGTTATTCTTTTACTTCCATTCACAGAAATGGGTATAAATTTTTGTACTGCTCAGCCCGTGCCATTGGAATGGCAGACATGACCAGAGGGTACTTGCACTGGGTCAACGAACGAGGAACTGTGCTGCCTCAAGGGCCAGTGTTGCTGAGTCCAAGCAGCTTATTCTCAGCTTTTCACAGGTAATGGAATTTCACTTTTGTGCAGAAAGAAACTCAGAGGTTGGTGGAGGTTAAATTCTCAGCTTTTTTTTTACGGGAATGCATGAAAACATTCATAATGTTTGGGGTTTTTTCTTACATATTGATGCAAAATTTAATAAAGAAGAAATTTTGTTAGGCCAAAATTCAGTAGATACTCACATTACTTAGTTTATCTCTGAAACATGCCTCAATATACATCTGTGTTCACTGTTTACTAGCAAGCACTGCTTGTTGACCTCAAGTTTTTAACATGATATATTAATATTTAACTGTAGGAAAAAAAGGTTCACATATTAATAACTTTCACTCTAGTCATGACTTGTAAGGTGTTCCAATTAGCAGAAGTCTGTTTTCGAGGAAGAATATTTCTTGGTGGGTTTAGAAGAAGTTCATGTGAAAGTGAAATGAACTTTTCATGTTACTAACTGCATTGTGATATTCTGCTTGGACAGTGCTCTTCTTTCTAGGTGTTGAACTGTAATAACTGAATAATAATGGCATAGATTATGAATATCATACCTTCTTCCTAATTCAGTGAAGCATGTGAAGTGATTACTGAAAATATTTTAAGCTCTTAAGAGCTGCCGTGACAGGATATATTCATTAGAATTTTTAATGGAAGGTTGTTGATATGTTCTTCTGATTGAGTGACATGCTACAGGCTGTCTCACCAGTCATGTTCTAAATATAAGAGACTGGTGGTATTATAGTGCACTTCTTAGGCTGATTAAATAATAAATGCAGTGAAAGGGTAGTTACTGTTATCTTCTGGTCCTCATATCTAGAAATATATTTAAAGTAATACTCTTTTTGGTATCTTGTTTAGACTAAAGAATGCCCATCTTTCACTGTACACTGTTGTAACTACTGTGATGTGTGGGCAACAGATAGCTTTGTTGTTACCATAGAGGGAGTCATTGTGGTTTTGAGAGCTTTTGAGATCAGGTGTATGTGAGAGTGAGAAAAGATGGTTTTATTCCTCTTCTACGCATTCCCAAGCTCTGTGATTTACAGATGGAGCTGCTGTTCCAAAGGGCTGTATTACTCCTGTGAAGTTCTCTGCTATTCACATCTTCCTTGACATATGTGTTGGTGCTAGGATGTGGGATTCTGAGCTTCTGAAGGGCTTTTGTGTCATGCTGGCGTCTCCCTACGTTACGGGAACTCCAGACTCTACCACCTGTTCAATCTCCTTGCCAAGAGAAGCTGGTGTGGAAGGGCTTTTGCCTAGAGATGAGAACTTCTCTGTTCATTAATGAATTCTGTATTCTGTAAGGAGCAACTGAAGAGAAATAGAGGATTCCTTAACTTCTGCTAATTAGCAGTGATGGAGAGCCCTCACTGTAGAAGTATTTTAGTAGGTGGGGGTGCTTCTGGCACATGCGATAATTGCAATCCTTTAAAAAAAATATATACATGATGAAGGCTAATATAGTCTATGAATCATTCTGCAGTTCTCAGGAAGCAGTTTACTTGATGACAATCTGTTTTATTAGTCCTTATTTAGCAGGTACTGCTTGTAATCAACTATCCTTGCTCAGTAGACATCTCGGCAACATAGTATTTGATAGAAGTTCCCTTGTTTTAGAGGATTTATTTACTGTGACCATTATGTAAGCTCGCAAATACTATTTTTTCTTCATGGGCACTATGTTTTCCAAATGAAGATTTATTGGAGAAGGAGGTGGGGGGCAGCTCTGCAGGAGTATCTAGCTAGGTGAAAAATGTTGAATAAAGAAAATGAAATTATTTGTGCTGTATTTCATGTGTACCTATTCAGCCTCCCTTTTTTATCATTTCAGGGAAGTGATAGAAAAGAAGCCAGAAAAATTTAAAGTTCAGTGTTTTACAGACATCAAAAATTTATTTTATCCTAACACAGAACCCTTCTATGCTGCTTTTGGAAACAGACCTGCTGTAAGTAATAGCTGAATTTATTTCTGTTGAAGAGAACAGAAAGGTTGCTGTTATTTCATAGTTCTGTTACATGAAAATCTAGAATCTTTAAATACGAGTTAAGAATATTTTATTAGGCCCTGTGCAAAAGAAAATATAAAGCTTCTTCCTCAAAGACCTCGCAACATAGGATGCAGAGATGGAAGGGCAGCAAGGTAACTGTTATGTCTGCATAACTTAGCATGAGAGTAAATACTGGTTGAAACCTTAACTATGTAAAAGGAAGCTTGTCTGAAAACACTGATTTCATTTTACTTCACACTGATAGAGTGTCAGTGAGATTATTCTGAACAGACAGTAAAATTTTTCCAATGAATAAAGGTGGGACTTAGACTTCTAACTCTTAAGTACACTCAAAACAACTTGGATGTCCCCCTGAAAGCAAAAGGTTCTGCTTTGCATGCAAAGTAGTGCGTTGTTTGACACAGAGGGGCCAGTACTATTCAATCTATTCATCAGTAGCCTGGGTGAGGGAACAGAGAGCACTGTCAGCAAATATGCTGATGATACAAAAGTGGGAGGAGTGACTGACACACCTGAAGGCTGTGCTGCCATTCAGTGAGACCTGGACAGGCTGGAGAGTTGGGCAGGGAGAAACCTATTGAAGTACAACAAGGGCAAGTGTAGAGCTTGCATCTGGGAAAGAATAACCCCGTGTACCAGTATAGGGTGGGGACTGACCTGTTAGAGAGAAGCACAGGGGAAAGGGACCTGGGGGACCTGCTGGAGAGCAGAATGACCATGAGCCAGCAACACACCCTCATGGCCAAGAAGGCCAGTGGCATCCTGGGGTGTATTCAAAGAGGAGTGGTTAGTAGGTCAGGAGAGGTTCTCCTCCTCGTCTGCTCTGCCCTAACGATGCCACATCTAGAATATTGTGCTGAGTTCTGGGCCCCTCAGTTCAAGAAGGACAGGGAACTGCTGGAGAGAGTCCAGCACGGAGCCACAGAGATGACTAAGGGAGTGTGACATCTCCCCTATGAGGAAAGGCTGAGGGAGCGAGGTCTCTTTAGCCTGGAGCACACTGAGGGGTAACCTCATTAATGTTTATAAATATGCAAAGGGTGAGTGTCAGAAGGATGGAACCAGCTTCTTCTCTGTGACGTTCAATGGTAGGACAAGAGGCAATGGGTGCAAGCTGAAGCATAAAAGGTTCTGCAGAAACATAAGCAAAAACTTTTTCGCTGTGAGGGGGACAGCACTGAACAGGCTGCCCAGAAGGGCTGTGGAGTCTCCTTCTGTGAGGACATTTAAAACCTGCCTGGACATGTTCCTATGTGACCTGCTCTAGGTAGTCCTGCTTTGGGAGGAGGTTGGATTAGATGATCTTTAGAGGTTCCTCCCAACCCTGAAGAGTCTGTGATTCTGTGAAGGGAGGGCAGGTCTCTGTCACCCCTTTGAAGGCTGCATAATGGCATTATGGGCTTTTCTTACTTCCCAAGAATACTTTATGCATTCAGAAGAGGAAACAGTCTCAGATGCCAGGGCAGAGGTATGGACCTGGCATGTGGGAAGCCCTTTTAAAGTGTTAGTGTGGTCCAAGAGACTGTTCTGATCCAGGCAGCTAGCAGGCTGCCAGGCAGTCTGTGGATGTAACTGGGGTGTTAGTGTGGGCTATGGGCTTCTCCTGATGGACGTTGCATATAGCCACATTGGGGGGATGCGTATGTGAGGGTGGGGCAGTTCTGGGGAGTTGTGTGGGGTTTTTTTGTTTGTTTGTTTGGGGTTTGTTTGTTTGTTTTGGGGTTTTTTTTGAGTAGAGTGGTATAGAGAGTTTACTAATACGTAATCTCAAGAGACTTCCAAGACTGGGAATGAACTCTCACACTGTTTAATTGACTAGTGCAGATATCATTGTAGGTGCCTAAGGAAGGACTAAGAATTTGTTTCACTAAGAATCTTTGTAAGCATCCTGCTTTCAGAAGGGGTGTCCTGGTTTGGCATAGAACATTTTGGGAGGTCCCAACATGCCTTTCTAATGGGATTGTTTCTACATCTGTCTCATATTTTTTCTAGGGTTGCTGACATTTATGAGCAGTGACCTTTTCAGCTTCATCTTCTAGCAAATTATTTTTTTAAAAGCATTGTATCAGAGAGGACAGGAGGTCCTCCCTGTCCAATTGCTGTACTAAATTGTGTCATACGCAGCTTAGCTTCCATTGTCAAGCTACCTTTAGACATGGTTCTGAAATAATTTTTTAAATACTTTTGTGGGTTTGTATTATGGATGATGTCTACCTCTAGTTCTATTTTTTTTCTTTTGCGCTTCAGGGTAATAAAATAATTATTTTCATACATATTTCAATAAAATTTCAAGTAAAGCATGTTTCTAACGAAAGGTACATTTCTTTAGAAATTAGACTAAGATAAAGTTTTTAAAGATATTATTGGAAACTCACTCCTCTGATCGCTGTTGGAGTGCCACCTGCAGATGTGAGATGTGCGATGTGCCACTGACTTTGTCATTGCTTTCTCATTTTGTGTGTTGGTGTGGTTTGTTTTTTTTTTTTCTTCCTTCCCAGAACAAACTTGGTAAAATTTAAGTACTCATGGATATTACAGGTGTAGATAGTGCATGGACTGCCAGGGTGCTGAGTTCTTGAAGTGACCGCTGTTCACTTTTGTTCAGTTACTTAGGTTTTTTGGAAGTCTTTAGGATATAGAGATAAAAATAATCTTTATATCTTTATTAACATTCCAGTCTTTCACTTGGACAGCTTTTAAAACCATGATCTACTGGGAGGTGTCCCTGCTTATGGCAGAGGGGTTGGAACTGGGGGATCCTTGTGGTCCCTTCCAACCCTGACAGATTCTGATCTGTTTTAGCAGAGGACTTTAGAGCCCTAATGGCTCAATGGTTGGACTTGATGGTCTTGGAGGTCCCTTCCAACCTAAATGATTCTATGATTCTATGATTTATATTAGTAAAGTGTTTTTGCTCTAGTCTTCTGGGAGTTATTTTCACCTCTTCCTTTGTCATGCTTTGCTTCAGAACACGTCAAAACTTATTCATTCCTTTCCTTAACAATTTTAATTTCTTTACTTATAATTGTACTTCCCAGAGTTGCATCTGCATTACCTGCTGTGGGTCACTGCTGCTAGTTTGTCATATATTCCTTGCTTTCTTTTCTTTTCTTTCCCCCTTGCTCTGACAGGGAGTCAATATATGGACACAGCACTAATCTGAACTTGGGTGCTAAGAGATGTTTCCAGGAGTTCTAGTGTAGACAATGGTTATTACGAGTTCCTTTTCTCACCTTGCCCTTACAAACTAATAACTTTTTACATGTCAGTTGTGTTTTAACCTCTCCACACTGTGGCAAGATACTTAGTACGAGTACTTAATGTTATTTTTCTGTGAAAACAAGTTACTGATAAAATGAATATGGTTTTGATCAGTAGTTGAAACTGAAGTGGCAAACTCCTTACTCAACTGCAAGTTGTCTGTTTCATGAGTGCTTTGTTAGACTTTGTTGGTAACGTAGTGGAGAATTTCAGATATATAATCAGTAGGTAAATTTGGTACCAATACTGTGCAAATATAATGATTTTTCTTTTCTCTCTTGTGTTTAGGATGTTTATTCATACAAACAGGTGGGAGTTTCTTTAAACAGGATATTTACAGTTAACCCCAAAGGAGAACTTATACAAGAGCATGCAAAGACAAATATCTCATCGTGAGTAATCTCTTATCCCTAACACCTTATAGACTAAATGAATTTGCTGTTCTAGTTTGACTCAAATTACCCAAAGATGCATTTGATTTTACTAATGAAAGATTCTTCAGAACATTTCAAAGTAAGCTTAAAAAATGTAGAATAAAATTCAGACTTTTCACTGTCAGTTAAAATGCCACCAAAAAATGATAAAAAGAAATTAAGTATTTAGTTCAGTATGTTTCATCTACTTTAATAATATAAAAGAATTTTTCGTGTAAGATTTAGTCTTCATGAAGATTAGCTAGTTTCCTGAAGCCATATTCCTTTTCATGGTCTCTTCAAAAGTTCCTTTTCCTGGAGCCCTTATCTAGAAGACCCAGAAAACAAAGTCTCAAGATAGGGCTGAGAGCTTCCAGCAAGATGCTTAGGCACAGGAGCACCTAGCTCTGAATGGAAATGGCCTTTCGTAATGTTGAGAGTGTCCTTAATTGAAAGGGAGCCATATGGGTATAAAATATGAATAATTGATTGAGCAGGGAGCTGCTTTAGCCAACTGGACAGAAATGGAGAAGCAGAATGTGGGGCTTGAATATTTTAGCAGGTGATGTGGGACATCTGTTTCTTAGCAGGCAAGTATTACTGCTTAGAATGGATGGATTTCTTACCTGAACTGTGAACTCTCTCTGGAAACTAGGCACTGTAAACAAGTTTAGTTTTGTTCGTTTGAGGAGGGTGACGTGGCCATGCCTTAGTGTGGAACTTGTAAGAATTCAAAATAAGATCTGAAATGGTTCAGTGTTCTTTTTATTTCTCTGTTTTCCAGCTACGTCAGACTATGTGAAGTGGTAGATCACATTTTCCCTTTGTTGAAAAGAAGCCATTCTTCAGACTTCCCTTGTTCTGATACCTACAGTCAGTTCACCTTCTGGAGAGAACCTTTACCACCTTTTGAAACTCAGGATGTACATCCAGCCTCATCTTAGCTGCATCTCCAAACAGTTGGCTTGAGCTCAAAGAATGAGTTGTCTTGTATTGAGGAGACACCACTTGGCTTTTGCTGTTGACAGTTCAGCTGGAATCTGTGATGTTGTGAGCATTGTTTTCTTTTGCTGTGAGCAAATTTAGGAATGCTTTTTCATACTTAGTCACATTTCCAGATGACAAGAAGGAGTCTTACCAAGAATAGGAGCTGCGTTTCTAGCTCTTCACCCAGCTCCTCAAGTTGTGCCAAACAGTTTCATTATTTAAGGTCAAATAAAAGTGATGTTGGAGTTGCAGTGAAACATGCCATAAGGTCACAAAGTGGTTCTGTATCTTTTCTGTGTCACTGAAATCACCTTTCATCTCATCAGAGCCCCTGCAAGTAAAGGGAGCTGAAGGTGCTCACCACTTCTCATCTTCTGGTGGCATGGACAGAGGGACTGAAATACCTGTGTCAAAAATCCTTTCTCTGAAGGAGCAAATGATTTTTCCTCTTTCCCCTTGCTTGACCAACAACTGTTTAAGAGTTAATTACTGGTCTAGGTCTTCAGCTGCTGCACATCAGTGTAGCTATCAAAGCCAGCTGAGCCGTGTTGATTTATTCTGGCCTGTTGTTTTGACTTGGTAGCACTTTTCTGAGGAAAGAAATGATGTGTAATCTAAATAGAAAGCAAATGAAATAAGATGGCCAGAATCTGACCATCTTTTCTCAATCTATGAAGTACTATGCTTCAAGAATAGCTATTTGGATTAAGGTAAGCATGCAGGTGGAACATGCAGGCTACTGTGCTTAGTTCCCATCTTACTGAAGTCACAGATTTTCAATAAAGACATCTTGCCCACAGAATGTGCAGAGTTTCAAGATTGTTACTGAGCCAAGGACACTGATTTTGTCAAAATGAGAGTAGTATTATTTGAAATGTTATTTTGGATAAAATGTGAACTTTGCTGGTGAATGATGCATCTCAGGTTTTTACTGTTAGATTTTTTTTTTTGTTTGTACCATAAAGAATGGATACTTGCAGTGCAATTTACTCTCCTCCAAGGTAATGAAATCTTCTCTTCCATCTTTTTTTCTTTCCTTATTTGTCCAGACACAAGCTGTAGATTTGTTTTTGCTACCTGCTTCTGACAGCCTTAAGACTTCATCGTGTGTGCTAAAAGCAATACTGCAGATCAGTTGATAATGTTTTCCAAATGGTCTGCTTTTAAACAATGCAGTACTTCACTTAAAATGTGGACATCAAGTGACCATGCCCCAAATGAGTCTCAATGTACTTGTAGCTTTCTCCTTTTAAAATACATTTTAAAGTCTGATTGTTCTCTGAAACACTGAAAATAGCATCATGGGATTCCGTGTGTATTGTATTTCAGTATGGGTGAAACAGTGGTTCACAAACAGTGGTCTCTGCCACCTTGTGATCTGTGAGGCTATGGTACATGTTTTGCAGCTGCTTTATGGTGTTTTAGTTAAGAGTTTAATAGCAAGGCAGAGTGGTCCAGGAGGAATTTTTAAGATGTGATTGTGGTCAGTTAGCACCCAAAGGTTTGGGAACAGCTGCTCTGTATTACATCTGTTCTGTTTCAACAAATACTGGTTTTGCATGTCAAGAGTGATGGCAACATAGGTAGGCTGGTAACTCTGCAGTAGGAGTTTTCTATTGTTTAGTGCTGCAGACTTTATCTGGAATGTCAGGGGGCCAATATGTGATTCTTCTGTGCCTTCAGTAGTAATGAATATAAGTGCAATCCTTTATACAGCTGCACTGTGCAGTGGTGAGCCCTTCCTGAGTCTCCCTGTTCACATGAACGTTGTTGCTTTGAGCAAGGTACATGTCCACCTTGGAGATACCAGGGTTAGACAAAGGGGAAGAAATGCATGTTTAATGACCCAAACTGCTCATTCTCTCTTGAAATTTAAAGGATACATAAAGATCTTTTTACTTCAAGATGGAAGAAATGTGGTATGGATTTTTTGAAAGACAATCAGTGGGGATTTCAGGCTGCCAAACTGAGATGCTTCCATCTCTAAATATAGCTACACTTATTTGTCTTCAATGATTGAATGAGTGGATGAATAAACTAACTGCATGCTGTTTTCATTCAGTTTTGGTAAAGGCCTATTTCAATCCACTTATTATGCAGAATAAAACCAACCCCACCCCCTGTTCAGTGAGAGGCTATCAGTTTTGTGGGGTTTATCCATAACAGTAGTTAAGATCTATTTTCCGCAGGTACCACACGCAGCAGCTTCCACGAGAAAAGATGGTTCCTGAAAGTTCTCCACAACTAAAGCCTGTGCTGTATTTATTTATAACTTTCTTTGTAACTTAACTATAATGGAATCCAGGGTTGTTTGTTGCCATTAGTATTTCAAACCAAATGATGGCATGAATTGTAGTTCTGTCAGGTGTGTAGGGGCAGTGCAGCACTGGTGCAGGGAACCCTGCGGTGCTGCGGAAGCTCCATCCCGCAGTTCCACGAGGCTTGGTTAAACAGAGCTATTGCTCTTGTGATCAAGTGTGGGCAATCATCAGCTTCAAGCATGAAGTTGGACCGGATGACCTCCAGGGGTCCCTTTTGACCAACATTTCTGTGGTTCTGTGAAGTTAAAGGCCTTACTTCTGATATGTTGTATCTTTGTGTCTGAAAGCTGAAATACAGATGGACAGTGAAACGGATGTGTTTCTATAACCAACATTTAGCACATTTGCTTGCAGAAAAGACTCTTAGGAAAATCAGAGTTTTGACCTGATAGAAACATCACCATGCTTTTTCAGAGTGTAAGACCTTTTGATCTGGTAGCTGAGCAATTCTATGCATAACATTTAAACTGCATTGTTAACTCATGTAGAAGAAAAAGAGATGGTTTAACATATTCCTACTCTTTCTGTGAAAGAAAACAATCAAACTTGCTTGCAGTGTAATGCCGGTTTCTGTTACAGAAAGAATATTTGGCTAACATAAATATGCAGACACACAAAACCACAGTATATCCTATGTATACAATACATGCAAAGTGAAATACACAGCACTGTTGAATAACTAATATTTATGTTCTTGAGGCCGATAACCATACCACTCCAGCTGTGTCATGTGAGGGAAAGAATACCATACTTGTTGCGTTACTTACATTGAAGATAAAATGTTACTACTGTAATTTGGGGAGGGAGGAGAAAAAAAGTATTGGATATTTTTTATTTGTAGATATGGGTTATTATTTCAAAGCCTGTTTATATAAAACATTTACTCTGTATATGTGTGTGCTACTGCAATGATGAAAAAACATTTTAACACCTCATTTTGATCTGCTGAATGCATCAAGGGTAGAAATATATATTGTAATAAAGGCAAATATAATTTTTTCCCTGACTTTTCTGTTTTTGTGTATGCGTTGAAAATGGCAGAGTGCTTCTGCATAACTGCTGAAACTGTGAAGCGTGGCTTTTTTAGCTCCAGTCTCTATCGCCTGTCTCTTGTTGGAGCTGTCTGGTGCAATTTCCAGCACTGGCAACATTTTTGGTGCTGAGCTACAGTGTTTGAGGCAGAGGCTTTTCAGGTGGAAAGAGTTTACTGAAAGAGACACGGCCGGGATCTGGACTCTAAGCTTTTTCAGGGTATGGGAGCAGTACTGAGGACCTGAGAGTATCCAGGTGGGAGCTAGAGCAAATTGGACCAGTCAGGAATCCTACAGCATCCTAGAATATTTTTTTGAATCTTCCTTTTTTCTAATTCCTGGTGTGACCTAAGGAAAAACTAGCTGTCTCTCTTGAATGTTAGTGTTGTCATTCATGGCAATGAGACTGGATAGGCTTCTCTTTTCTTTTCCTTTCTTCTCTTTGACATTGGCCATTCTGCCGGTGAGAGGCAAACACCCTTTCCTCCTGCCCTGAGAACACAGCCTTGCCTTTCGCTCCCTCCCTCTGGCAGGTTTGCTGAGCAAACTAACGGCAGCGTGATGATCCTGCCAGGCTTGTTGGTATGAAAACAAAGATGTTTGTGGTTGATAAGGCTCTGCGGCTGTTCGAGTTCTGTGTTAAAAATACAAGAGCAGCCGTATTTGGGCAGCCTGTAGTCACTGCTGCTTCAATCTTCTCTATTTTCTGTATGTCTCTGGCTTGTATAAACATTTACACTGGAACTCTGGAGACAGGCTTTGAAATGAAGGTGCCTTTTTAATTAAAAGTCAGAGAAATGGTGCTTTAGCATCAGCAAACCAAACTTTATAAGGACATATTCACTGCTCCTGGAATATCCCAATTAACATTAGAGGTAAAAAAGTCTGAGGGAGGAGGCCTTCTAAGGAACAAACACCATGAAGTTGTGAGGAGTTTTTTTATGTCATGGGGAATGTAGGCAATATTTGCAGAATGCTACAATAATTTTTTCCTTATAAATAAATATTCTTAATTCAATATGCATTGCGGATGCCATCAAGTACCTCAGGACAATACGTTGCAAGAGGCTGAAGACCGTTAGTGCTGAGAGCTAGTGCCTAAAAATATAACTAATGTAACTTTCAACTCTTCTGCAAATGTCTAAGAAGGTGAAGCCTGGAGGTTATTCTTGGTGTGGTTTTTTTTTTCTGATTTTTTTTTTTTTTTTCCTCACAGAAACCCAGGAAAGCATGGTGGTGAAGGGAGTACACTCACAGTGCCACAACCTCGGGCAGTCCTGGCTGTTTTGCTTTCAGTAACACCCAGCCCCTCATATTGTGCTGTAACCTATTGGAGATCCACAAGGAAAGGGCTAGTTGTAAATGAGAGAGGAGAGGCTGGCTCTAAAGAAAAGCTGGCAGGGGTGCAGGAGAATTACAGCTCCTGGATCCTTTGAGGAAGGGCTCCTCATCCAGACCTTTCCAGATACTGAGATATGAGCGAGAAAAAGAGTGATAATTGAGAAATTAGTTTTCTTCTAGGAGGAACTAAAGAAAGGGAACGAAAACAGAGCAAGTGGCCAAAAATCAGCTTCTTGTTTCTATCCCAGTGCTGAACTTAGGTGTTAGCAGGTCA